TATACATAGATATATAGATATTTATATATATAGATAGAGGGATAGATAGATAGATAGATAGATAGATAGAAAGATAGATAGATAGATAGATAGATAGATAGATAGATAGATAGATAGATAGATAGATAGATAGATAGATAGATAGATAGATAGATAGATAGATAGATAGATAGATAGATAGATAGATAGATAGATAGATAGATAGATAGATAGATAGATAGATATGTAGATAGATATATAGATAGAAAGATAGATAAAAAGATAGATAGGTAGATAGATAGATATCATGACTTTAACTTCTCAAGTGTTTTGACAAACCAGTGAGTTATAATTTCAATTGCATTGTTCTTTAGCATGCGTCCGTTTGCATTTTTTTTTGCATGCAAACACTTGAAATCTGTTGACCAGAACTCGAGTCATCATATGTGAATGAAACGTTTGTCGAAACAATTTAGAGCTCACAGATTAACTTGTCCAAGCATTTTGTTTTCAATCAGCTGCTACCAATTTTTTTTCATTTGGGTTGAATCAAAAACCCTGAATATTTCCATAAAATATGCCTGGTTTTCATGACAAGGCTTAAAGGCGTACAAACTATTAAAAATGTTACCTACAGATGGAAAAAGAAAAAAACTGAATCAATAGAATTAAGTGCGGGTCTAGCGCAGAAGACACTAAAAGTTAAGCTGGAACATCTCCTGACAAAAAATCGTTAAGCTTCAAATTCTTTTCTTGCTGCTGGAAAAATTTAACAAAAATAAAATAAGAGGGGTTCAAAGCGACATTTTTCTACCAAAAATAAAAAATTTCGTTAACCATTTTCGGTTATCACTGTCCCTAATAGTGACGGTTTCTTTGTGCTCAGGGTAGTTTTTTTTGCTCAAGACAAACTTCGACTTTTCAAATATAAAGTTTTGAGAGAATTCATATAAACCATTTTATAGCATATGCGAGCTAATGATTTTCCCAGCTCAAAATTAAAAATGCAGTTATCCTGCTACATTTTGGCCAACTAGCAATAATTAACACGCACGATATTTAATCTACAGTAATGAAATTGGGAGTATGAAAGCGTACGCGGTTTTCCAATTCATTTTTTTTCAACTGCTACATGCAGTTTAAGTTTTTCAGTTTGTCACCAGACTCATTTTATACCAATTTTCATTTACATAACAAATTACAACGTCAAATATTTTTCATCTTTCTCTATGATCATCTATGATCAAACCAATATTTTTCATCGACTTTGAAACAATGCGTTGAGTTTCGCTTTTAGAGTTGTTTTTTAGTTTCCGGAAGTAATTTTGCGTACAATGTTTTAATAGGAGTTGCCTAAGACAGACAAACAACCGCAAAAAAACATATCAGTTTTCGAACATAAACTTGTCAAGCTATTGTCAAGCTAAATAAGTCTTACCGTTTTATCGCACTTATGATTTAAAAAAAAGAAAAAATCATCTTTTTTGAGGAAAAGTGTTAGAATCCAAAAAATTTAAAGCAATGCTCGTATATCAGGGCAAAGCTCTGAATGTTTCGGCTGTCCCTTAACTCATATCGAATAGTTTTTGGACAAAGAAATAAATTAAAACCTATAAACTTTAAACAAAATTAATCAAAGTGTGAAAATTTGAGTCGTACGAAATTAATACGACCGATCCGAATAGCTAGCTTCAACTCAACTTGGAACGATTTTGTTGTGATGGATGACCCGCCACGCATAGAGAATTCAAATTACGCTTTCAGCTTTATGAAAATCTTTTTGAAGCGCAAATAGAGAATAATTTAGTCCAGCACATGGCCATTTTGGCAATTTTAAACCCCAGAATTTTACAAAAAAAATAATTGGAAGTAAATTATCTTTTTAAATTTGAACTCCAGAAGTCGATGGAGTTAAAAAAAATTTTTATTGCAAACTTTTGTTTATATTGACGAAAATTGATTTAAGAAAGCCACATCGAGCATAAATTTTCCGTTTTCTTCGAAAATTGGAACAATGACTTGGCAAGAAAAGCAAACCCGACAACTTAAAGTAAAAACACTAGAACAGTAAAGAATTGAATAAAATGGTAAAAGATATTATGGCATGCAATAAAACTGCATTGACATCAATCAAAAGAAGTTTTTATGACACTTTAGTTAGCTTAGAAGTTCTGTGATTATTCAAAAAACCTTGACCATCTGGTGCTCTGACAAAAAAATCTTCCAATTTTTATTTCAGTTTGTGCTAATAGAAAGCAAAAATCTACTGCTTTCCGATTTTTTTCAAAATCAAATATATATTTGTGATTTTCACAGCAATTTAAAACATAAAAAATGAATGGAAAAAAACATCTCGAGTTGTAATTTCTATGCCACGTAAGTCTGACTATTACTTTTAACAAACTTTGGGCTTATCAGATCTTGACAAAGTTTTCAAGTTTTACTTTGAAAATTTGACCATTTTCTAAAGAGAAAACAAAAACGACCGCTTTTTCGTGGACTAACACTTTTTAACCTCGATCTGAAATAATCAATGAAGTAGTGACTAAAACTAAATAATTCGGAAAAAAATTGAAACTTCTATTCCATTTGTTCTTTCATAGTTTTGTTCATAGTGAGCCCCGGTTGATCATCCATTGATAATTTTTGCTGATTTGGTGTTAATCATAGAAAAATGTTGATTTACAGGTGGCCATCGGTTGTTCAAAGCTCAGCTTTAAAGAAGCTCTTAATGTTTTTTGACTAACAATTGAACTTTTTGGGAGATCTCTTAGAAGATACAATGAGTTTCTATTGATAAATTTTTGCTGAACAATTGACGACTAACCAATAAAAATCCGTAATGAATCATCAACTACTTGTGAGATAATTATCAATAACCAATCATTTAATTATCGACGATTGAGCTATTAATTTTCCAGCAATTAAACAGCAACATGTCAACACTGATTAGCGCTGGAACGTTGTATATTTTTTGTTGTTTTGTTGAATGACATGAAAATTTTTGAAATTATAACTTACTAGTCTCCCAATTTTACGAGTTGATTGATAAACAAAAAAAAGTTGAATCAAATTTACTAAAAAAAGGAATGAATTATTTTGAAAACCGTACTAATTATTCTAGAAAAAGTTTCAAGTAGAGTGCTCTTTTGAAATTAATCTAGAAGTTCTGTGATTATAGTTCTATGCAGAACTTCTATATAATAATCTATATAGAAAGTTCTGTGATTATTCAAAAAATCATAAACATCTGGTGCTCTGACAAAAACAAAACTTCTTCTAATTATGATTTCAGTGTATGCTAATAGAAAGCAAAGATCTCCTGCTTTCCAATTTTTTTTACTAATTCAAATAAATTTTTTGTGACTTTCACAACAATTTAAAACATAAAAAAGAATTAAAAAATACATTTCGAGTTGTAAGTTCTAAGCCACGTAAGTCTGACTATTACTTTTAACAAACTTTGGGCTAATCAGATCTTAACTAAATTTTACCAGTTTTATTTTGAAAAATTGACCATTTTAATAAGAGAAAACAAAAACAACCTTTCTTTGCGGACTAGGACGTTTTTCCCCTGATTGTAAGAAAATCAGTGAAGTAGTGACCAAAAGTAAAATAAAAATTCGGAAAAAAATTTGAAACTTCTATTCTATTTTTTGTTTCGTAGTTTTTGTTCATAGTAAGCCCCGTTTGATCATTCATAGATAGGCATTGCTGATTTGGTGTTAATCATAGAGTAATGCTGATTTACAGATGACCATCGATTGTTCGAATCTCAGCTATAAACGAGCTTTTAATAATTTTTGACTAATATTTGAACTTTTTGGGAGAATTCCTAGAAGATACATCAAAATTTTTTTGATAAATCTTTGAAGAATAATTGGTGACTAACCAACAAAATTTCGCAATGAGTCATCAACTACTTGTGGGTTAATCACCAATAACCAATCAATTAAGTAATCGATAAATTTTCAGCAATTGCTCAGCATCGTTTCAACACTGAATTAGCGCTGAAAAGTTTTAAATTTTGTTGTGTTGTTTTGTCGACTGACATGAAGGTTTTTAAGATTATCAATTACATTGCTCAAAATTTTACGGGATGATTTATAAACAAAAAAAGTATCAAATTCACTTAGAAAAGAATCGTAAAAATCGTAAAAATTGTTCTTGAAAAAATTTCAATTAGAGTGCTTTTTTGAAATTAATCTAAAAATTTGAATTATATTTTAACATAAATTTTTTAAAAAATTTTGAAAACTCCACTCTTTCTTAATGCGGGAGGTCTTAGTTTTTAAAATCCCAATGCTTCCACTTGCATTGCGTGGTTTGCAGCAACAACTATCCACAAGCGAATTTAGCTCACGAGTTGCTCAATTAGAGTGCTTTTCAATTAGAGTGTGCTTTTTTGAAATTAATCTAAAAATTTGAATTATATTTTAACATAAATTTTTTAAAAAATTTGAAAACTGCACTCTTTCTTAATGCGGGAGGTTTTAGTTTTTGAAATCCCAATGCTTCCACCTGCATTGCGTGGTTTGCGGCAACAAATATCCACAAGCGAATTTAGCTCACAGATATTTTGCTCAAATTTTTGGAAGAGAGGCATAAGTTAAAGCTATCTGAAAAATTGTCATAGTCATAGTAAGTCATCGATATTTATCAATTTTCATAGCTAAGTTATTAATAAATCACCAATAACCATGATGAAAATGGTAACTTCCGATCAAGGATTAATGGATTTAAAAGTTGTACCAAATCAGCAATAACTGTCCAAAAACATTATGCTTGAGGTTACTGACCTATTTTTTACCTTTTAAATTCGAGGTGTGAATTTGCGACAGAGAGTTTGCGGACTAAAAGCCATTTTCGACCAAATTAAAACTTGATCTGCCATTTTAAGTTTAAAAAAAAACAAATCGAAACACCCAATTTTAGTTGCCAAAATCGAAAAAATGTGAGCAACTCGAGTAGCGCCATTAAGGAAAATGAAGTTCAAAGTGAAATGACTGGTTTCCACTTACATTCGCCTGGCTGCATCCGGATTGCGCTCGAGCGTCTTCAAGTTAGTCTGCAGATCTCTGTCTGAAAAAAAAAACATTAGAAATGAGTTCGGATACCAGATTTTTAAGTCTTTTAAATTTTTTTAGAATCCAATCTATAAATTTGTTTAAGTGAGCGCAGTGAACATCGCCGGAAAGTGGGAGGTGTTTTTGTTTCCTCCGGTACAAGTGTTATAGAGGGGTCCCAGTAAAAACCAAGTATGGGCGAGGGTTCCCAAATCACATTGTTTTAAGCAAAAGTAGCAATTAACTAATCAATATGCCCCGGTCGGTCGTTTCAAAACTTTTTTCTAAAGCGTTATTAACCTGCTTAATTCACGCGAGTTTATTCGATTCTTTACTTGACATCACCGAAGCAGTAAATGGAACAATTTCGAGGCTCTATTGACATCAGGGACCCGGTTAATTTCTTGGGACCCCTCTATCGCACTTGTACTTTTCTTCCTCCTATGTGTTCTTGCCTCTTAATTCTACCTTTTGATTTCCTGAATGTGACATCTCGATTCCCATTTCTATGCTTTTTTGACGCCCAGGTAGTTCAGAGATAGAGGGGGTGGGTTGAATTTTATGTTTTATTATCTTTTTTGGAAATCAAGAAGGAGTTTTGAACAGCATTGCCAGCTTAGTCCAACGCTTTGTTTATCTATTTTATATTTCTCGAAAAAGCTAACTTATTCAGATTGTAACATAAGCCAAATGCTATTTATAGGGCGAGCAGTTTGAGCATCTACAAAAGCATTGCATTCAAGATTTTGGTAAAAGCATCAGATAAAATTAATCAACATTGAGCTGTTTTATTTCTTCTCCATTTAACTCTTCGAAAACGTGCACTAGAACAGTTCAAGTTGAACTTCATTTGATCCCCTTACGTAAATGTTTTTGTTCCGACCATTGAAAATGGGAAGAAATTTTGTATTCGGGTGTCTTAGTTTTTTTTTATTTTCGTTTTCCACGCAAAATCAGCTATCAAAAATAATCATCGGACTGAGTTGAGTGATATATCATTTTAAAGCTTTTCAGCCGTGATTCAAAAAAAACTTCAAATTCAAAAAAATTCCTGCAATTGCAAAAAAAAAGTTTTGCCAGTGTCGAGAAAAACCGGTTTGATTTTTATTTATTTTTTGTCTTACTTCGAGCGAGTGAGCAGGCTTACTTTAGCTTATTTATGCTTAATTTTAGTCTTGGAAATTTAATTTTACTCATTTAAAGTTAGTTTTTGGAGTTTTTAGCTTCCTCTCAGAAATCAAAAATTTCAAAAATTGGGGGGAAAATTCTGTCGAATTAAAAAAAATTTAAATTTTTTTTTGATTTTTTTGTTTTTCTTATTTGTCTTCAAAAATTGTTTTCCAATTTGCATATTTCGCAATGACTGACGAAAATGCCTGAGCTCCACTTTTTCGCCGAGATTCCTCTATCATACCACGCCGAAAAAAAACGAAACTAATTTAAAAAAAAGTTTGTTGTAGTTTTTTAAGACTGGTCGGAACATTCTGTGTTACTTGCACAGTAACCCGCTATCCTTGTTTTAATTAATTTTTTTTTAATGAGCTGATCAAAAATTTTTTCATTTTACCCTCAATCATATCGTTTTTATCATAAAAAAAAGTTTTTTTTTTCTTAATTGTGAATATTCGTACAGTTATTGTTCTTTGCCTGAAACTAGTTGGTGAGGGATGATGCAATTAAATGTCTTCAACTTTGTTTGCAAATTTGAAGCACCATGATAACTTCATATTCATCACGACAGAATAAAATAAGAGAATTTTTGACAGAGTTGCCAAAAAATAAAAAAGCAAGACTGCTCGTATATCAGTGCAAAGCCCTAAATATTCCCACTGCCCCTTAATCCATATCGAATAGATATTGGGGAAAAAATATTGAAAAACTATAAATATTACACAATATCAAAGATCAAGTGTGAAAATTTGAGTCGTACGAAGTTAATACGACAGATTGTTCACCTTAATTAAATTTGGAGCGATTTTGTTGTGCGGTATAATTCTCCGCTCATAAATATTTGGCCTTACGTTTTCCGCATTATGAATCAATTCTTCAAAACGCGCAAAACTTAGTCCAGAGGATGGCCGAATAAGCAGATTTCAAATTCCCAGAACTTTACAAGAATATCTTGTTACATTTGTTTTCCAAAAACCTGTAAAAGAAAAGATAGTTTTGGTTGATAGTGAAAAAAAAACTATTTTCACTGTACAGAAATCAAAATCTTTAGCTATAAACAAACTTCAAAATTTATACATACTTTTTCGAAAGTTTCAACCTTGTAAAACTTTGTTGGGCTGTGTTACCTGCTTCTTTTGATGAATTTGTCTCATTAAAAAACTTGGAAGTTTCAACGTGATTCTTGATTAATTACAAAAATTAAAATGACCAATTTTGCTTAAGGATTTCGGGAAAAATTTCACCATATTTTTTGGTGAAAAGCTAAAAATTTTGTTTTTTTTTGTATTTTTGGTCTAATATAAACCCAATTTGAGAAAACGCTTGAGAAAATTTTAAATTTTATTCGTTTTATCATGGTTATATAAATCAGCACACTATATTATACCAAACGCTCAGAGTTGATCAAAAGCAAAATTTTTTGGCTCACTAACTCAAAACTTTGGCACAAATATGTACTATGTTTGCGGTGGCTTAACATTTTCAAGGGGAGGACGCAAATTTTTAGTCAACAGATTGAAAAGTGGCTCAACAGCGTCATTTTGGCCTTTTTTCAAAAAAACGTCTGTAACGCCGACAATATTTGCAAAATAGAGAATTTAAAAGGCATAAGTGGTGCTCAGAAAATCAATTTGGCCGACCTAAATAAAGTTTTGATAAAAAAATGAAAAACTTTTCCAAAAAACTGCCCCATCAAAAAGTCCTGCGCCCACTGATCTCTTCGTCAAATTTGGGTCTCAATAGCAAAATTTCACAGCCAGTTTTTTCGACGCTGATTTTGATTGGAATATCGAAGTAAGCTTCACTCCAGCCCAGCAAATTGACCCTACCCGTGCTTTCCTAAGCCGCAAAAGTCACCCCGAGGTATTTCTCTTTCCAGCACTCCAAATGGTCCTTCAAATACTCAAAGTTTTGCTTTCATTCATTTTTTAAAATTCGTTTATTTCAGAGGGTCTTGTCAATTGAGCGTCACTTTTTAAAGGGAAATTTAGATTCCATTTGCTAGAAATAATTTCAATCAATCGGATTCGAGGATTGTGATCTGCTTTTAAATAAAAAAACGAACATTTATGGGCCGTTGAACTGAAAAATTCCGTCTTCTTCATCCCAATATTACAGCGTTGAAGATTTTTCACAGACTTCAGAAAAAAATTCAAGAGCATTATTAATCAATGATAAATCGCACTTACTGTTGCGTGAAATTCTCTGCAGCAACTTGCCCTGTTGAGTAATCAGCAGATCATAATCACCCATAATAAGAACACAAAACGAAGCTTAAAAGAGACACAGAAAAACTACCACATATAGACACTAACTATATAAAGCTGAGTTGGTCGTTATATACAACAATAGTAGCTGAATCTCATATTTGTCTAAGTTACTTCTAAAACATGCTAGTTTTCTATAAAGTTTGAATGAAGTTATTTGCCATTCTCTTGTTGCCATTTGATTGAAATAAAGAGAATGGTAAGTTGATGATATGTTGAATTGAAACCCAGCTTTTGCGGAATCATCATTACGTAATGTTTTTTAGAATAAATACAACCACAGAACATGTTCAATAAACATTATCTCGTCAAAATTCAAAAATCATTCCGCAAACAGTTGAATCATTTAACTTCAAAAGCAGAGCCGGAAACAATTTTTTCGCATTTGCAGGCCTCATTTACTAGCAATAATTTTGAACAGTTTTTCAGGGGCGGATCTAGGTTTTTCTTATAGATTTAGTTACCCATTTTAGGTCACCAAATTGATTTAGGTCACCATCATAACATCACTATTTTGACAAATTTTTGTGAAAAAAAACAGGTTAAAAAACGTCGTTTTTGGGCAGTTTCTGGAAGGTTTTGAACGCGTTTCTGGTGGCGCGCGCTGTCTTTTAAAACTAGAACAAATTGGTGCGAAAGACACCTCCAGAAAAAGTAGAGTCGGCTGGCCGAAACATTGTGAATACCAGAATCGTCTAATTTTGTTTTTTTAAGATCGATTTATTGCATCTTTTCAAATTTACAGTCTGACATTTTTGTTACCGAACTACTAAACTGAAGAGGCACATGGTAGTGCTCAAAACTTTTCAAAGGTATTCATACCATGCACAAGATGTTCCCTGGTTGACGTCCATAGAAGAAAAATGCTTGTCAAACAATTTTCATGCATAAATAAGAAACTGTTTTGAAGATTTTTCAATGAACATTTTTAACATGCCCGCACACAGCAAAAAGAGAAAATTATAGATTATATTATAATTATATACGTACTTTTAGCAAAACTAAAATTAATTAAAAATCGCCAATCTTAGATGTTTAAACGAGTTTTAATCAAATATAGTGAGAACATTTTTGGTAATATTTTAACAAATTATAATCAATTATAATTGGTTACGGTTTTTCCTAAAATCTCTTATAATCTATTATAAAAAATTATAAACCATTTTTCTATCAAAACATTATCTCACAAAAAAATCAACTACAATGGATTGTAATATAACTAATCTGCATGAAAACTCAGAAAACTTCAAATTTAATTTAAGTTTGAGCTAGAAAGACAAAATTACAGATTCTTTTAGTTCATCAGTTCCCCGTATTCATAAGAGAAGTAAAGGCACACGAGATGCACATTCCGGTGACAGGTGGCTGTAGGTAGGATGCAACTTCAGGTGACAGATGGGTGTAGGTATGATACACCTTCAGGTGACAGGTGGGTGTAGTTTGTATGCACCTTTAGGTGACAGGTGGTTGAAACATAAACAAAAGAATCAAAATGAGAATAAAGAATATGAGAAACTTATACCAAAAACTAGCAAAGATATGATACCTCCTTTTAAAAAATTTAACCCACCAGGGACACACTCAGACACTCACAGAGGGACACAATTTCCGACAATCATAGGGGCACACAGAAGGAAACATACTCAGACACTCACAGGTGCACACATAGGGACACAAACTTAGACACTCACAGGGGTATACATAGGGACACATAACTAGATGATTACAGGGTCACAGATAGGGACACAAAATCAGACACTGACAGGGGCACGCAGGTGCATTAAATTGAAATAAATAGACAAAGAAACTTGAAAGCCCCATCCAAAGGTCCGATCTCATCAAGGTACCCTCAACTTATTCATATTTTTGGCCTCAACTTACTATGGTTATAGTTTTTCTCGGCCTCAACTTATTTTGATTTTTTTTCGGCCTAAACTCAATCGGCTAAACAGCCGCTGGTACGCTGGAGAGAGATTGACTCAATCTAGTTGTTATAAGTAAATACTAAAATTATCTTGTTTAGGCATTTTAAGATTATTTTGAGGTCACACTAATTGAAAAGTTTTTATTTTCAAAAAATTGTTTAAAAAATCGCATTAAAAAGTACGAAAAGATACCCAAAATAAAATGAAAACAAATCAAAATGAACCAATGAGAATTGTTGAATAATAATGGATTATAAGCCAAGAAAATGAATTATAAATCAATGAAATTTCTGAAATTTTTTTAAACCAATTGTAACAGATTTTTTTAAAAATTTTATGAAAACTGAAAACAAAAATCTATTATAATCTACTTATTTCTCTTTTTACTGATTGCGAGTGAGCTCTTATTAATGGTCAAACGAGCAAGATGTGTACTCCATATTAACACTCAGTTTTTCCCCAGCCAAAGTAAAACAGCTTTCGTTGCTATATGAACTAAAAACAACTGAAACGAACAGAATAGGAATCAGAGGGCCGGGTTCCCCAAAGTCTGATCGACGCTACGGCGAACACACAGCAGAGAATACACAAATTTTGAGCCCAGATGATGTTGCTCGACATATGCTTCGACTGTGAGAGTGGAGCAAGTGCAGTTTTGCGACTGCAATTCAGCGATCGATAAGCCATTTATAGTCAAGCACTATGTCGATATATACTCAATGTTAGTCAAGACAGTCAAATCATAGGTCGAACCCAGTGGGAACATCAGTCGAGCACAACATAAGTTTTCATTTTTTAAAGATTCAAATTAATTTTATACTTGAAACCCAGCAGAAAATTCTGCTCAGAGAAGACCTTTATCAGAAAGTTGCAATGAGCAACAATCATTTGAGAAGAGTTTCTTGCCGCAGCATTAAAAATTTCAGATGGAACCCTTTCAACTTTCGAAATCTAAAAGTTCCTGATGTAGGAACAAGAAATTCTTGTCGAAAAATTTCTCATGAATCACTTTTCAGACCAAAAGTTTCAGTCCAGATTTGTGAAAAAGAGGAAACATCAAATTGAGCTTTGATGCCAAAATTTCGCTGTTTACTGATTCTCATTCTGTATTTTCAGTTCAAGTATTATCACAAAAATTCACTTAAAAAGCAAACCTGATTTTTTTTTCAATTCAGTAATGTCAGTTGATATTCGAAATGTCGAGAAGGTCGAAACATAGATTGCGCACAGTCGATACATACCTAGTTTTGGTCGTTCAATTCTAAACAAAAGTCAAGACACAGTCAAAGTATAAATCGAGCACAGTCGAAAATTTAACTTGCCAATTTTCCCAGAAATACTTGAAAATAGACTAGGCGCAAATTTAAGCTCACAATTTTGTGATCTAGAGAGTTGAAACAATCATTAAAAATCCCATTGTTAGTTGCGCAAATTGAAACAAAGCTGAGATGGATCAGATAACCTTTGGAAATTCTGCTGACAAAGTCGAGGCGGTCGAAACATACCCATTCACAAATTCGAAAACAAATCAAGTTTCTATCGAGAAAGTCAAAACAATTTTGAACTGGGTAGAACAAAGTTGCATAAGAAATTCGAAACACACCAAAACTTGAAAAAGAAAATTGAAAAACACCAAAAAATTGTCAAGAAAGTCAAATCGTAGCAAAATTTGGTCGAGACAGTCAAAACATAAAACGAGCACATCAACCCGGGAAAGGACAAACAGCTATCTAAAATCGTTTTTCATTTCATCGTCTTTGTTTAAACAGCTTAAATAGTTTAAAAAAAGTTTCAACGAGAGATAGAGGGAAAGAGAGAGATAGAGAGAGATAGAGAGAGAGAGAGAGAGAGAGAGAGAGAGAGAGAGAGAGTAACTATACTGTAGCAGGACCGAAGTCTTGCAGAATTGAGAAGTGTTGCAATTCATCAGAAAATTCAGACAGAAAATTCCACCACAAAATTTTAAACAATTTTGTTAACTTTGGTCATCAGTGTGTTACTTTTTTCGACTGTTAAAGCTTACAGTGCAAAAATATATAGTAACTGTGATGTTCGCGTATATAAAACAGTAGTACTGGTTTATTCAAAAACTGAAAAATTAAGAAAGTTATTGTGAATATTACGGAATAAAACTGTTTTTATTGACACAAAAAATGTGCCTCTTAAAATAGTATACAAAGAAATTGGGTTCTTCAACATTTCAGTTGGGAAATGAGGACGTTTTTGATTTTCACCCATCGCCAGTTTAATAAAGTTTTCTATCAGCTAAATTTCTGTGACTTTTACGATTGTGTTTTCATCACTTCGATACTTTGCTCCGTTCTTCCATTCCGCCCGTCCTAGCCAACTTTGTTTCGCTATATCATTGCATAACGCCACAATAAACTCTCGCTCCAAATCGCCAATGTTTATTTAAGATTTATATGGTTATACTTGGCTTATGCTAATGCTGCTGGCCCCCGATGAACCGTTAAGACTTCTGTCAGTTTTTCATAGTCACCTGACAGTCTGTTCGGCGAGTGGACATTTATTTGCGCCCGAACAATTTCATGCCACTATTGAAGGTAGAATTAAATGACGTTTTCAATGCTCAAAACGATAACATTTACATGTATTTATTACCAGCGTGACCATACACTTGATGTTTTTAAAAGGCTTAAAATTTTAGACGTTTTTACCTTTAGATTTATCGAACATTTTACCTGTAAAGGTAAGGCCTTTTTGCTAAAATTTGGCAAAACTATTTGAGCAAAACCGCCTACTTCAATTGCCTAGTAGGTTAGAGATTAAAACACTGTCATTTTTAAGACGTCAGAGTGGTGATTTCAAGGCTCTCGATAAAGTTCAGGAAAACAAGCCTCAAAGAATGCTAGCCAACGGAGATGAAATATAAAAAGACATTTAGTCTTTTTACCTACGCACTCGGGTTTTGTATAAACGCCTTGTCCAGGGGCGGATCTAGAATTTTCTCGAGGGGGGCGGGTTTTCAAAAAACTTTTGAAATTTAGTCGACTTTTTTTTAGGTCGTCGACCAAATTGTTTTTCCGAGCTCTCTTAAAGCACACTACAAAGACCCTGTTTTGGCCGAAATTTCTGCGCCGCAGGCAAAATTTTGAACAAATAGCCGAAAAAGCCGTTTTTAGGCACTTTACCAGAAAAAAATCGCGTTTTTTTTTACGTGCATTCCCCCCTCAAATTTAGTATATATCCGTCACCAAAATGGATATCTCAAAACAGTTCAAAGAGGGACCCTTTGGGTTGGCAGGGGCTCGAATCTCTGAGGGGGGGGGGAGGAAAGGGGCGTGCGCTATTTGCAAATGATGCTAAATATATTATCGGGTGAATAATGTTGATGAGTTTCGACGTCGGGTTTTCTCCTAAGGGCTATGAAAGACTCGACTCCGATCCAGTTTCAAGTCACTGCCTACTTCTCAATTACATAGTTTTCTTGCGTACACAAGGAGCGTCGTTAATTCAACTCAGTTGTTTCAAACAACATAAAAATGTGCAAACGACAAAAAAAGGGCAAGTGACGAATTTTAAAAGCTATCAAAAAAGATCAGCAAGCAAATGATATTGGTCAAAGACAATTGTTAAGACTTGCTTTAGTGGAACAAAATTATAAAACAAGGAGCTGCTAATTTTAGCAAAATATACCGAACACAAGAAAGATATTTTTTTACCAGAGCTCAAAGGTTGGTCGCTCTTTAAAAAAACTATCATCAATTGCTTGAAAACTCTAATCAGTACTGTGAAAGTGCAAACCTACACCATCAGACGATGGTCAAACACAGATCCCGAGAAACGTTTCAGATTTAGGAAAAGAGGCCTCCAAATTGGCTCATTCCGTCTCTAGGATTGTTGAGAGAACGAAAAATCTTGGGTTATGAATTAACGCAAAACAGACAAATTACTTCAGCACATGTGAGCATATCTTGAAGCGTTCCCCCAGACGTATTAATGCCCCATTAAATACGGTTGCCCATCTTGGTTTTTCAAGCAGTCTCAATCACGAACATTATCTTACTAGCTCTTTTGACTCTCTACAGCCGAGACTTCTTTATTCCCATGCAGAACCGATAGCAGTATACCGTTTTGATTCACTTTGAACCTGAATGAATTCTGTTGCTCATCCACATCGAAATATTTGGTTCTCCTGAATCAGAAGACTACTGCATCAGATTCTATTACAGAAATCATCATGCAGTGGTATGAAACAGGATCCAAAGTTGAATTTGATCCTCCCGTGCATATCGCAGAACATGAATGATGCGCCTTCACATGCATTCAAAATTAGTATGAACGCTTGGCTTTTAATTTTTCTTGCTTTTTCATCACACCCTTGTCCCGTACAACCGCTCTGACCTTAATGACCTGAGCTGAACTTAACTTTTTCAGGTTTTAAGTCCAATCACATGTTCCTGCTGCTATAATAAACAGCAAAAGATCAAAAAACCACCAGGCCAGGTGTTTGGAACAAGCTTCTGCAGTTATGCAAAACATTCACTTAATTGACTATCAAGATTTTGTCGAGAACCCCAAAAAAGCACGTCAAGACCTTATTGTTTTTTGCAGCTAGATAATGTGTCAGTTATCTTTATTTGTAAGTTGGAACCTTGATCACTGCAGTCCCGTACCGAACTTTTTGGCCATAATCATATCTGATCATTGTAAAATCATGCAAAATTCATGTCTGTAACAGATGTGCAGCGTGTCTATATTCGGCATGCACATACCTGCATCAGACCTGCATCAGGTGTGCTAACTGAAGATATGCTCACACCTGCAGCATGCATGATCATGCCTGAACTGAACATGCTCACACCTGCATGATACATGATCATACCTGAACTAAACATGCTCACACCTGCAGGATACATGATCATACCTGAACTAAACATGCTCACATCTGCAGGATACATGGCCATGCCTGAACCGAATATGCTCAAATCGGTATCTTCAGTATTATAAGATAATTAAAGAAATGGTTAAATTGTAACAACATCATAAACTCAGCTTGATAATGTGACACTTTACTTCAAATTTTTAGTTTTTTTTTCAAATTTTTTCTGACATCGGTGAAGTTTTTTTGAAAATTTACTGTAGTCGTTAGATGCATCTTTCTTTAATTGCCAGCAGGGAGTCGTTAGTAGCGGGGCGTGTGGATACTTTTCTCTGTTTCCTGTCAACATAAAAAAAATTGTTAGTCAAAACTTCATCACTTTAAATAAATGCTTAACAAATAAAGTTAGACAAAAATCATGCGTTAAAAAGTAGTCGCATATTTGTTTTTAGTTTATTCAATGAGATTAATAGTATCAACCAATCAAATCTTTTTAATTTATTCGCAATTATTGCGGCTACTGGTTCGCGAAAATTGAAGGATTATTGGCCAAAAAATTTTGTGACGAATTGCTTCAATTCAATGCTTTATAGTTCAAACCGGGGATTCTTAGTTTTTTCGACTATCCCTCCCGTTGATCCCCTGAAACTAACCTGACGTCCTCTTTTTTGGGATGTAGATGCGACATAATTTTCTTCATTTGAAGATATTTGACTCGAGGAGGTAAATTTGGATAAGCTCATTTCAAAAAAAATCTGAAAAAGTGAATTTTTAACAACAAAGACCAATTAGTCAAGATACGAAGTGAAAATGTCAAGTTTTCAGTCAGTCGTTATCATGTCTGCGACAGGTATGAACATGTTTCACTCAGGTCTGATCATGTAAGATCCAGGTACGACCACGTCTGTAGAAAAATACGCATGCTCACTTGTGAACAGCCCTGCATAATGGGGGAACAGTCCTGAGAATATTCTCTCCCCTGCTAAATGGATGATCAGCCGTGAAATGGCACAAAAAGTTCAGTACGGGGTAGTTAAAGCGCGCAAACTCACTGCAGCAGGGACAAATTCTTTTTCAAAACGTTTCAAATTGTATATATTCAAAACCTGGACGTTTAAGTCATGAATTTCAAAACGTATATATTCAAAACCTGGACGTTAATTGATATTACCATTTGGCTGAATCAAGAAATTGTTTCCTTTTATAGCTGTCTTCACCGCACACTTACTTCCTCTATTTTTATTTCCTTCATTATTCAATGCCCCATACCTATTTAAGCCTGCCCGGTCACTCATGGGGGTCCCAAGTGTCTGGGGGAGGGGGGCAAGTGTGGGGGGATTGAGTACTGTAGTTATTGTTGGAGAGGGACAGGGTGGGTGTGTGTTGGAATATAACAGGGGGTAACTTTAACAAATAGGGGATACTAAAAAGAGGGTTGCATGTGGAGGGATGGGGTTAAAAATGAAAGGGGGTGCTCAATTTAAGTGTTACAAATGAGGAATCTAGTAGGCTTTGAGTGACAGAGAAATTAAAGGAAGTTTTGAAAAAAAAAATTGGAAAGTTTTAATTTTGAGCAGGGGGGGGGGGGGCGGATTTTAAAAAAACTTCAAAAATTTTGTCGACCTTTTTTTTAGGTCGACCAAATTGATTTTCTGAGATCTCCCAAAACACTACAAAGACCCTTTTTTCGGCCAAATTTCTGCGGCGCAGGCAAAAGTGTGAAAAAACAGGCCATAAAAGACGTTTTTAGGCACTTTTTGTAAAATTTTGACTTAAAAAATGCGCTTTTTTGGCGCGCGCTCAGCCCTCAAAATAAGTATGTATTGGCGCCAAAGGCGCCTTTAGAAATATTTTAGGATCCGTTACCAAAAATGGATATCTCAAAATAGTTCAAAGGGGGATCCTTTGGGTCGGCAGGGGGTCGAATCCCTGAGGGGGGTCGACCGACCCCCCGCCCCCTTCCTAATTCCGCCCCTGATTTGAGTACAAGGATAGACAGTTGTTGTGCAGGTAAGGTAGCACAGAATGTTCCGATCATGTTCATAAAAAATTGGTGGTATGAACCAACCGAAAAAACGTAAGAGTTATATAATAGTTATGTAACAATTATATAACAGTTACGAAAGTCGCACAAATTTCTTTGATGCGACGTAACGTTTCGGCAGTCCTATAAACATGCGCATTTTTGGTTGGTGTGTATTTAGGCTGGTTTATTTACTCACAAAAAATGGAGTAAATTTTTCTTCAAATTAGTGTCATTTTCAGTTGGTGGAGTGATTCAAAAACTATACGAACGCGTCGAAATTTAAAAATTTAGGCATAATCGGCAGAGCGTGTCTCAAAAATGAATTAAAAAAAACAAAAAAACTTAAAAAAACTAAAATGCAATTTTTTTCTGACTTTTTTGCACAGTGTTTCTATATTTTTTCAAAACAACTTTTTGCCAAACAAGCCCTAATTAAACATCGAAAACATCCTTTTGATAGTAAAATCAAGTTTTTTATCCTAAAAGCCTCAAAAAACAGCAAATTTCCATATAACGATTGTTAACATGATCCGCGGTTTTTGTTGCAAATTCCGTCTGAAAATTACTTCCAAAAATAATCCTTTCGAAATCAAACTTTTCGAAATCTTTTCGAAATCAAACTTAACCTAAATTCATTTCATAAATATATGTTGCATTTACAGCACAAATAACTAATAATAAAAAATCTATTTTTCGACTATCAGAACCACCTTTCGGATCGAGACAAATAATATGGCGCAAAATAAATCAAGTAGCCGATATTAATAGCAGCATAAATAAGAGCCAGACATCGGTCAAAAACCATCACTACACTAATCCACTTCAGATAAATCAAGTTCGCGTTTAACTTCAGTAGTTTAAGTCGCTGTCGGCTAATCGTCACTGTTTTCAGCACAGTCTCTAAATTCTGCGCAATGCTCTTGTAGAAGCATGATATGGTATTGACGCTTGAAGCCGACTGTTGCGATTGATCGAATGTTTGTTCTTTGTCTTGAAGCTGTGAACAGAGATGACCATTGGAAAAAAGCGGATTGGTATAGAAATTTGTTTCAGTTTCTGATAGCAGCGGACAATTGGAGCTGTCGATACCAATTCTGAAACACGGAACCTATCTAAAGTAATAATTTGACTGAAAAAAAAAATGAAATTGTTCTTTATGAAAACCGAAATTTTAGCGCCAGTGAAAAAAAAATTAAAACCACTAGAAAAAATTGGAAAAATCCTTATTTGTTATAATGACGCCATTATGACTCCAAGGATATTTTCTACTTGTTATAGTTTTTTTTCATGGGCGCTGAATTTTTGGTTTTCTTATAGAAGTTTTTTCATTCCGTATTTGCGATGAAAATTATGTATGTTTTTTGTCCACTTGCTACTTAGGATCACTCAAAAAATCAGCGAATAAATCTTTATTTGGGTCTACTAAACGAGCCTGTTTTCTAAAATATCACCATTCCATTAGATCATCATGTCAAGTTTCATTAAAAAAACGAACCACGTGATCAATTCACTTGCTAATTCCTGGGAGTCAAATTTAACCAGTGCAATTCACGGATCTTTTTCTTTTTCCCGCCACCTGCGATTTTTTACAGCTTGAATTTTTTCACATCGTCCAATTGATATCAAAATTGACACCCGGTTTAATTAGGCCATGACGAACATGTTTAGTTTGCATATTTAACCTTGTTTACCACCTCAACACCATAAAATTGATGCTCGTTCGAGGTTGGAGGAAAAGGAAAAAGAGTCCAATTCACACATTGTTAACTTATTTCTTCAACTATCTTTAACTATTACCCCTTAACTGTTTAACTGTTTACCTTTAACTTTTACCCCCCTTAACTGTTTACAAAATTTGCTTATGCTCAACCGTTGAATTATTTCATCGTAAGGATGGCAACTCAGGCTCTTTTCCCGTCCCCCTTGATTTTTTCTGAATTTCAATATATGTAAGTCAATTTAAAATGACTTTTCCTAATATAAACTGCATTAAAACGTGTCAGCGTGAACAGATGCACAAATTTTTACAACATTTCTTTCATGGAAAATGCCATGTGAACAATTTTTTTAAGAGCCGCAATTCACTACTACCTTCCAAAGGGGGGGGGGGATTATTTAAGACAGCCCATTAAACTTACTGGTAGCATGCCTTGTTGCATATGAGGCTCAACTTGCGACCATGTTGTACCTCAGAGAACTCCGGACTCAAAATATCCTCGTTTAGATACGACTTCTGTTTAGAACCACCGAAGGAATGAAGCAACTCGTCCAAAAAGAGCTTGTGGCGTTTGATCACGGCCTTCATCTGTCGGAACTTCAAGTCGCCTGATTTGTTCATGCAGAACCACCAGCTAAGTCTGGTGCAGATGGAGAGAAGCTTGTCACTTGGCGGCGTCTGCACTAAAATTGGCATGATTCGAGGTATTTGAGAAATCTTCAAGGTATTTGACAAATCATGACAAATTTTTGAAAATTTTGATCATAGAGAGAAGAATGTTTCTTATAACTTCGCTTCTTTTCCCGAGTGTTAAATGCCCAATTTTTAGAAATTTTCTTTTCGAATTTCATCTCATAGCTAGTTTTTCTATTTTTGTCAGACAAGTTTTTTTAGAAAAAATTTGATAGTAATTTTTCGCAGAAATTATTTATCAACGTCGAGTTAACTTCGTTATCATAGTGTATTAAAGATCAAAAGATATCCGTTTAACATTAAATCGTTTTTAAAGTTTAAAAAAGTCTGATTGGTTTAATTTGTTGGAGAAAAAGAACAAACGTTTTGTTCCCATTGACTTGACGTGAACAACCGGAAGTGAGAGGATGAGAGTGAGCGTTGTGGCTATCATGCACACAAGAGTGTAGGCACTCAGCACCGGAGTTTGGAGACTGTTGGCGGGAACATAGTCCCGGATCACCATCATGTTGACGGAGAGTGCGAGGAGGATGGTGACTCCCAGCGACACCTTCTCCCCGTTTTCGGGCGGCAGCAGAAACACGAGAACAGACATCGTGTTCACCTGAAATTTTACAAATACAAAAATCTATAATTAAAAAAAAATCACAAAAAAAATTTCATAAAAGGTGTTAGAAAATACGGGTTTTTTGAATAATATTTAGTTTTAGCCGTTTCGAGCATGCTTGCGATCTAACTCAGGGGTGGATTTAGGGCGGGGGACGGGAGAGGGTTGACGTTTTTTCTCAGGGATTCGACCGTCTCACCAACAAAAGTGTCCCCCTTTGGTATTTTTCCAAAAAGTGCCCAAAAACGGTATATTTGACCTGTTTTTTCAAAAATTTTGCCTGTGCGTAAGGCGCAAACTTTTTGGTCAAAATAAGGTTATTATAGTTTTCTGGGATTGCTCGGAAAATCAATTTGGTCGACCTAAAAAAAAGTCGACAAAATTTTTGAAATTTTTTCGGAAATACCCCCCTCGAAAAAATCCTAGATCCACCCCTGATCATTACTTCTTTCTTAAATTCGACCTGTGCTTCTTTTTTTAAAATAAAATTGAACAGACATATAGTTGTCCTTTTGTGTCTTGGTGGTTTTAACTTATCCAGAATCACTTAGGCTACATTTTCCATAAAAGGAAACTTCCTCACAAGTATGGCTGGCACCACAATGTTCCACGAATAGAAGGCCATTCTGCGTCTCAAGGTCATCCGGTAATTCAGACGGGAGAATCTGAACCTGATTGACTCCATCTGCAAAGACTCCTAAAACAGACAGAGGAAGCTGCTGATCTCTTTTAAAATCACCCAATTCTAATACAAAACTTTTCATTGAACTTTTAACAACTAAGTCCATCTACAGTTTTAAATGCCAGGCGTTTTTTCATGTACTTCCTCGTCAAACACTTGTTTCAAGCCTCAGAAGAAGTGGGTTTATATGAGATCATAATAGTTTAGAATAAAAAGTGACGATATTAGCATCAAAAATGGTTTAACAACTTTAGTATGTATAACCAGTGTTTTTATTAGTTTTGTATGAATGTTAAATACAACTGCAACTAGAGCTTTCGTTCTGATGGCAAACTTGGCTGCCGTTGTACCACGTAGGTAAAACTGTGACTTGGAGAAATTCACAGAAATTAATAATTGCATAACCAGACCAAAAAACAAACACAGGCACCGAATTTTATATCTATCAGATATTATTTCCAATAAAATTATCGTGATTTTAACAAACTCGAGAATCAAAAATGACATGCTGCTCCCTCTGTCTGGAACTTTGTTTCAGCCCCAGAAAATTCCATAAAAAACGCCTCCAAAACCACCACCTTTAATTTGCATTCTGTGCAACAATAAAAGAAAAATGCCAGCAAAAACACCATTTAGAACAATCCCACATCCGATATGCTGAGAAATTATTCATCTGATTAAACTTTACAGAAAATGATTTCTGTAATAATTGTAATCAAATCACTACATCAAACAATACATGTTAGGATGAAAATATGATTTTCAAACATCTTTACGTAAACATATGCAACACCTGCATTATATAATTCAAAACAGTCTGCCCTATAAGTGATTCTGAAGTTCCATTTGACGATACATGGTCATAAGCCATCATCCCTTTGCTTAAGGAAGATAAGATATTCTGCTTAGCAATCGACACCAATCTTGTTCTTCAACACGACATATTAGTCGAAGTCGACTCCGTACTCGTTATTATTAACGCCTTATAAATTTTCCACGATCAGTCAAAGCTGAGTATCCACCACAGTAAACTTGGCGGATTTTATGAAGTAGTCATTTTCATTGAGTCTACTAGTTCTCATTACCGAACCATTATAATCGCATTCATGAACCCAGACACTTCTTTTGACATCAGTTTATTGTCCCACACCCAACAATCACAAACTTTGCAATAATCAGAAAGTAAGTATTTAACTTTTATTACATTCATTAAAATCAGGTATTCTTTCTAACTGTTTTTTCATCTAGTTGAAACCAAAACGATATTCCAGTCAACAATAATAATTTTTGAGCGTGTAATTTTATGAGTTATGCGGTTTACAAAAAGCCTCTTTTCGACCAATCACCGGAAGTCAACTGAAACAGTTGTGTACGAAAGCCCCTTGTGTTATCAATCAAACAGAAGGTTTAAAAAACAAAAAGCCACCAGCCGTTTCACCCTCCTCATTTCACTTGTGAAGATTGCCGTAATCAAACAAAGGATCAATATGCTAAATGTGGCAGATTCTTGTGTGTATTTTACCAAACACGGTCTTGGACCATTACGCTTTTGCAAATTTCCCCTTGCAATTTATTTCAGGAAATTTCATACACACAAAACAACTTATATAGCCATCAAACGAGCGCGGAGTTGATAACAAACTGACCTTGAGGTCAGCAAGATAACTGGTTTTAAAATAGGGGAATAATTCCAATCCAACGGGCTCTGACAGTTAAACGAGAGGTGTGAAATAACTCTAATTAAGTTGAATTATATTTTATGGTGGCATTGTAGTAATTGTGGGATTGTGTTCAAAATTTGCAGGAGTGAAAGTTACTAGCTGAACTAACTGATCGAAAAAAACGGGTCAGAATGCTAAGCTACTCTAGCTTTAAAACATAGCACAGCCACCACTCTACCATTAATACCACCGCTACGTGCAAATGTTAAAATTTGCATTATTTCCCTTACCATTTATGCCAGAACTTAACAAAGAGTGGGGAACAAAAATTTTCTGGATGTGTTACAACTAATAAAAATTCCACCACCCATCGGCCACATTTAGTCGTTTGCAACAAAAGCCGTTCTTCAACGGCAATTTCACGCCCCATTGGCCACTTACCGTGCGAAGTCTCCAACCTCTGGAACTCACACATTCATTTATCGTAAAAAAACCTATAACTGGCTAGATGAAACCTGACTCTATCGCCTACCCCCAGTAGCACAACAAAAAACCTAACACGGTATAATTTCACTATGATTTTCCCAATTTTTGGAACAAGACTGCTTAACAGGTAATTTTTTTCCTAGATTCTTCAAATTTCTTCCAAACCATGTGCCCATTCTCGTTTGTCCAATAAAGACATTAATTCCATTTACAAACTTTTGGGAACAATGAAAGAACCCTTGTGCCTGGACGATGTAAAACACAACAATACAGTCGTAATGCACTCGACTGGTGACTTCTAACATCAAACTTTGATTGCATGCCACCATCTTATTTCATTAAGACACCAAAATCCGAACAAGTCTATCAGTCAAGTACCCTTTTGTACCAAGATTGCTAGTTTAACGTATTATAACGATGGCTCAGGCAGCAGTTGGGACGATGAAAAGCCGCTTTGGCTCCCTTAAAATACCTAACAAACGAGTACGACTATCCGTTGAAATTTAATCTCAGCTATTCGGTTAATATCTTTTGTAGAAAGTACTTCCTTTCATGTTCAGTTGCATGTGGTTATACTCTCTGTCTTTTTGACTCGAAACACTACGATTCTATCATTTTTTTAGCCAGTTTGGATTGTGGAAACACAAGAAAAACCTAATAATTTGATAATCATCTAATTGGTATGGTATAGATCTCAAAAATCCTTACGTAATCGTATGCAACACCTGCATTATAAGTTGCAAAAAAATGTGCCCTATATGTGATTCTGCGGTTCCATTAGACGATACATGGTCACAAGCCATCATCTCTTTGCCTAAGGACAATCAGATGTTCTACTTAATAATCGACGCCAAACTTGTTTTTCAATACGACATATCAGCCGAGGTGGATACCGTACTGATTATTATTAACGCTTTGTAAATTTTCCACGATGAGTCAAAGCTGAGTATCCACCACAGTAAACTTGGCGGACTCTATGAAGTAGCCATTTTCATGGAGTCTACTATTCTCATTACTGAACCATTATAATTGCATTCATGAACCCAGAAACTTCTTTTGACATCAGTTTATTGTCCCACACCCAACAATCACAAACTTTGCAATAATCAGAAAGTAAGTATTTAACTTTTATTACATTCATTAAAATCAGGTATTCTTTCTAACTGTTTTTTCATCTAGTTGAAACCAAAACGATATTCCAGTCAACAATAATAATTTTTGAGCGTGTAATTTTATGAGTTATGCGGTTTTTCAAAAAGCCTTTTTTCGACCAATCACCGGAAGTCAACTGAAAAAATTGTGTACGAAAGCCCCTTTTGTTATCAATCAAACAGAAGGTTTAAATAACAAAAAGCCATCACCCGTTTCACCCTCCTCATTTCACTTGTGAAGATTGCCGTAATCGAACTAAGGATCAATATGCTAAATGCGGCAGAATCTTGTGTGTATTTTACGAAACACGGGCTTAGACCATTACGTTTTTGCAATTTTCCCCTTGCAATTTATTTCAGGAGTTTTCATACACACAAAACAAATTATATAGCCATCGAACGATCGCGGGGAATCGATAACAAACTGACCTTGAGATCAGCAAGATAACTGGTTTTAAAATAGGGGAATAATTCCAATCCAACGGGCTCTGACAGTTAAACGAGAGGTGTGTAATAAGTCGAAATAAGTTGAATTATATTTTCTGGTGGCATTGTAGTAATTGTGGGATTGTGTTTAAAATTTGTAGGAGTTAAAGTTACTAGCTGAACTAACTGATCGAAAAAAAAACAGGTCAGAATGCTAAGCTACTCTAGCTTTAAAACATAAGACAGCCATCACTCTACCATTAACACCACCGCTACGTGCAAATATTAAATTTTGCATTATTTTCTTACCATTTATGCCAGAGCTTAACAAAAATTGGGGAACAAAAATTTTCTGGATGTGTTACAACTAATAAAAATGTCACCACCCATCAGCCACATTTAGTCGTTTGCAAGAAAAACCTTTCTTCAATGGCAATTTCACGCCCCATTTGCCACTTACCGTGTGAAGTCTCCAACCTCTGGAACTCACACATACATTTATCGTAAAATAGCCTATAACTGGCTAGATGAAACCTGAATCTACCGCCTACCCCCAGTAGCACAACAAAAAACCTATAATTTTACTATGATTTTCCCAATTTTTGGAACAAAACTGCTTAACAGTTAATTTTTTTCCTAGATTCTTCAAATTTCTTCCAAACCATGTGCCCATTCTCGTTTGTCCAATAAAGACATTAGTTCCATTTACAGAATTTTGGGAACAATGAAAGAACCATTGTGCCTAGACGATGTAAAATACAACAATACAGTCGTAATGCACTCAACTGGAGACTTCTAACATCAAATTTTCATTCTATGCCACCATCGTATTTCATTAAGACACCAAAATCCGAACAATTCAATCAGTCAAAAACTTTTTGGTATCAAGATTGCTAGCTTAACGTATTATAACGATGGCTCAGACAGCAGTCGGGACGATCAAAAGCCGCTTTGGCTCCCTTAAAATACCTAACAACCGAGTACGACTATCCGTTGAAATTAAATCTCAGCTATTCGGTTAATATCTTTTGTAAAATTTACTTCCCTTCATGTTCAGTTGCATGTGGTTATACTCTCTGTCTTTTTGACTCAAAACACTACGATTCTATCATTTGTTTTCAGCCAGGTTGGATTGTGGAAAACACAAGAAAAACCTAATAACTTGATAATCATCTAATTGGTATGGTATAGATATCAGAGCCAGATTTTTTGTCACTTTTCAACTATAAAAAGGCGGCTGAACAAAGAAAAAAGGCGGCCGAAAACTCGATGAAACCACTTCTGCACAACC